AAAGCTGGTTTTTCCGGTAGTCATGTATTAATGTGAGGGTTGGACCATAAAGAAGGCTGAGCACCAAAGAATTGATGCTTTTGAACTGCAGTGTTGGAGAAGATTCTTGAGAGTCCCTTGGACAGCAAGGAGATCAAACCAGTCAATCCTAAAGGAAATCAACCCTGTATATACATTGGAAGGACTGATGCTGAAGCTGAAGCTCCAATACTTTGGCCACCTGATGGGAAGAACTGACTCATTGGAAAAGACCCTGAAACTGGGAAAGATTGAAGACAGAAGATGGGGATGACAGAGGATGAGGTGGTTGGATGGCATCACTGACTCGATGGACATGACTTTGAGCACGCTCCATGAGCTGGTGATGGACAGGGAGGCCTGGCGTGCTGTAGTCCATGGGGTTGCCAAGGGTCAGACGCGACTGAGCGACTGAACAACAACAAAACCTGTGGTTAGGATTCTTCACTTTTGCTGCTGAGGCCCAACGTTCAATCCCTGGTCAAGGAACCAAGATCCTGTAGACTGCACATTACAGTCAAAATAAATAAATAGATAAAGAAATAAAACCACCAGTATCATCAACTACCCCCTCATCCCTGCTAGGGATTTTCTCAGCAGTGCTGGGCCACAGGGACTCTGTATTTAAAAAAAAAAAAAAGAAAGAAGGAAAATGTGTAGAATCCATCAATACCAATAAAAACCACAAAAAGCTACAGTGAGAAAAGCCAGATCCAGGAAGAAGGGGCCAGGGTCACAGCCACGGGAGCTAACTAAGGCCTAACACAGATAGGGTGAGGATTTGATGGGGTGAAACAGCTGAGTTGAATGCCTTCTAGATTTTTTTCTATTTCTCTTTAAGCAGTGTGAGTTCATAAGGAAAATGAGGTTTGTTTTTTTTTTTTTTGGAAGCTGGCAGGAAGGAAGCAAGCAAAGATGAACCTACAAGCCCCAGTGGTGGGGCTTTTATTTGGGATGCGGGCGGCTGTCAGCTGCGTGAGTGGCACCCTCTTACACCTTGGCCCCCACCTTAGTCTCCCTTTCTCCCACTTGATGTCCGGCCGGGGCTGTGACTGAAAGAGGGTAAAGAGGGGAGAGGCAGTGTCCCCACCCCCTGGCCCCACAGCAGAGAGAGAGGGGTGGGAACTGAGGAAGGGCTTGACGGCTCCTCCAAGGCCCCTTCTGTGACTATGAGCTCGTGATATCTAATGTTCTTACACCCCCAGATTCAGTGATCTACCCCCCACCCCCATTTCAGGGCTGCCAGGAGCCGGGAGTGAAGGAGTGAAGCGAGAGATCAGAGGAGCTGCCTGCCGGGGAGCAGGGGAGGGGAAGGCAGGTGGGAGGGCTGTGAAGGGAGCAGGTGGGAGAGCCAAGGTGAGTCAGCAGCGATGGAGCAGCAGGCTTGCAGCCTTGGAGCCTCCCTGCAGCTGTGTGCTCGCCTCTGAGCTCTGGGCTGGCTCCGCTGCGCGCCCCACCCCCCGCCACCAAGTCCCGGTGCTCCCCACCCCAGTGTCCTCCACTCTGATACCCCAGAAAGTCCTTGCTGAGGGCTCTTGTCAAAACTTGCCTACCCTGTATCACATGCACATCTCAACAGTGACAGAGACCTTTCTTAAGGAGCCGCTGTCACGAGTGTCTGAGCAAAGTGGCCAACCAGTGACGAGGAAGGTGTTTAGGAGGGATCTTGAAGTACCCCCGTATCACTCTGGATGGCAGGCCCGCTTAGGGTGGACTGCACACTCTGTCACTCTGTCCCCTGGTCCCTACGGGTGGAGGGCCGGACAACCTCTACCATGTGTTCCAGGCAGAAGGTACCTGAGTCTGAGGTCCTCCTTAGCTACTGCTGACTGCCCTGGGTACCAGAGCATCACTGAGATGAAGCAGGCAGGAGGGGATGAGGTCAGTGAGTCCTCCTAGGGGCCTGCAGGGCTGGATGGAGGGACGTCACTGGGGTGAAGGAATGAGACCCTGGGGTGCACCCATCCCAAGGCCCTTCTGAGAACATGGGCAGGTGAGCAGCCGCACTTGTGTCTGGCTGAGTGGCCCCTGTAGGCCCCTTCAAGGCCCCCAAAGGTCACAGGTGTACTCTGGGAAATCTGGATAGGGACAAAGGAGGAAGAGAGGAAGCCCCTTCCGCCCTTTCTTAGCCCCGACCTCAGGGAGAATGGAGTGAAGGGGAAGCCGGCCCCTGGGCCTCTGACTGTTCTCACCTTGGTTCAGGCCAGCCCCTTAGTTCTCTGGGCCTCCATTTCCTCTCTGAGACCAAATCCTTGTCCACCTACCTTGAAAGCTGTTATGCAAATAATAAGAGACATTGTGATGAGTTCTTGGGCGCTTGGCCCCCTTTCTCCAGGAAAGAGGCCTTGGGTTATTTTCTTAAACTGTTAGAGCATGTGTAATGCACCATGATTTACCCACATGGCCAATATGAAATGTGGACCTTCAGAAAGCAGCCAATGGCACTTCACAGCAGCTGAGCCTGCCTCCAGGTTCCCTGTGTTTCCTGAGAGGATGGGCATCTGTGTAGCAGATTCCTGGGAACAAGGAGGGTGTCCTCTGCTTCCTTGTACCCCGAATGTTGGGTACACTGTTGGCCCATACAATAGACTTAGAGCTGGAAGGAAACCCCAACTCAAAGATTCTGGGACAGACTAGTAAGGATGGCCACAGGTCCACCTGGTGTGTATACCCTTTGCCAAGGGACTTGACCATGCTCCCAGAGGATGGAGTCAACTTCCTGCCCTTTGAATCGTGACCTGGATTAGCGAATAACATCCATGGAAGTGACGTTATGCAAGTTCAAGTTTAGGCTCAAGAGACCTTGCAGCTTCTGCCTTCAGCCTCTTTGACTGCGCCCCGAGACACTGGGAAGTGGTCTGGTGTATCCAGTTGGAGGAGGAGAGCCCAGTGGAGGAGGACTGAGGCCCCCAGGCTGGCAGTGAGCCCTACGCCTGCCGTGCAAGTGAGTGAGGGCCTTAGCATGGCTGACCTCCATGCTAAGCAAGGCTGCTAGAGTGAGCCCAGAGAAACGGGCGGGGAGCTCCCGCCAGCCCACCCACACAACCCTAGAAAGAATAAACCAGTGTCGTCTACGTTTAGGGTGGCCTGGTACACAGCACAAGCTAGCTGAAGCCTGCAGAAGGGAAGAGACCCATCCAAGGACCCACAGAGGGGCAGAGACCAAGTCCAACTGTGACCGCGTTTCCCAGCTGCCCCAGATCCCTTCCCACCACAGTGTCCTGCGGTCGAGTTCATCACCCTGGCCCCGTGTGTGTGTGTGTTTGTGAGGGTGTAAACCAAGCAGGCCCTTGCCAATTCTCCCTGAGTTACAAAGGGTTGGCTGACCTCCACACAGGATGTCATCATCCCTGGAGAGCAGGTGTGGTTCATTCCATTCTACAGAGAGTGAAACTGAGGCCGGGAGTTGATGGGCGACTGGCTGACAGCCACACAGCCTGTTAACAGCAGAAGTCTGACTCAGACCCGCTCAGGCCTCCTGCGCCCATTTAGCGTCATTTCCACTGACCCAGAAAGGAGACCAGCGGGTAATAAAGTTCTTTCCAAGGGTCAGTCTCTCAGAGAAGGGCACACACACACACAACAATACAATACGCACACACATACCACACACATACATACACACCATACATACACACATATCACACATATACAATACACACACACACATACACACCACACACACCTACATACCACACATACACAATACACAGATACATACAACACACACATACATAGACCCCATGTACACATACATAACACACACACCACACTTACACACACACGCACACACCCATACGCACATACATACCACACATATATACAACACACACATACATACACACCATACACACATACATATCACACATGCGTACACACATATACAGCGCACACATACATACCACACTTACATACGCTTCATACACACCGACATACGACACATACATACACACACACCCCATACACACATACTTACCACACTTACACACACACATATACAATACACACATACATACCACACTTACATACACACATATATATGACACATACATACACACACACCCCATACACATATACATACCACACTTACACACACACATATGACACATACATACACACACCCCATACGCACATACATACCACACACAGACACACATCATGTTGGTCTCTCTCTGTCCCTCTTTTACTCTGTCTCTTCTTCCCAACCCTCCATCTTCAACCAGCCCACCCCTAACGGACCATATACTTTATTAAAAATATATAGTTACAATCTCCATTGTCAATCTGGGCTGGGCCGACGGGCCCAGAGGGACCGCAGGGAGGGACGGCCCTTATCCTGCTCCTTGGGGCCCCACTTCTGCACCCAAACCCAACACTATCCAAGGGCCAAGACAGCTGGCTCCAAGGGCCTCGAGGGACGAGCCGGCTGGGTGGGGAGGGGGCAGGGTGCCCGGAGAGGGCCTGCACCGCCTGGTCCTGTGGGTACACATGGCAGAAGGTGGATTCGGTGCCTCCATCTTTCCATTTATAGATATTTACAAAAGAAAGTCATGAGCAACAGACCACAGTCATGCAGAAGAAACGCACCCCCCTCCCACCCTCCCAAACTAGCCACCGGCCCACCCCAGAACCCCGAGATGCCCACCCCCCCAACAGTCCAGGCACCTTCCCCAAGGTTCTGAGAGCAAAGGGGGAATGTCCTTGAAGGGTTGGTGGGGAAAGGGTGGGGGGGGTCTGAGGCTCCTGAGCCCGCCAGTGGGTAGGTGCTGGGGAATCGGGCCGACTGGACCAAGGGTGTCCTGGCCCTGTCCCAGGCCTGGGTTCTGGAGTCAGTAGGAAGGGCTCTCCCAGTCGTTGAAGCCCCCACGTCCCTCCAGAAGGTCCGGAGCCAGGGTGAGTTCTGTCCTGAGTGTGGAGGGGGTGTCCTGGCAGCCCACCCCCCAGCGAGGCTCCTGTGGGAAGCGAGAGGGCGGGCTCGGAGGTCAGATGGCGGACTCCCTGCGGTAGGAGATGTTGTCCAGTGGGAGGGTGGCTTGCATGCGCTCCAGATCCAGGTGGCTGCCAAACTCCAGCATCCGGATGATGCCCGCCTCCTCCTTGGAGCCCGCCTCCAGGCCCAGGCCCGCGGCCACGGCGGCAGCGGCCGCAGCCTCCTCCTCCATCTCCTCTTCCTCCTGGCTCATGAGGGCCAGCTCGTTCTCGTAGCAGAAGGCACTGGGCGGGGGCGGTGGGGCGGGCAGCACGGTGATCTTGCTCTCCTGCAGCTCCCGGGCGGAGCAGCAGGGTGTACCGGCCACCTCGTAGGTCTTGTGGAAGCGCGAGTAGTCCACCTTGTAGTGGCTCTTCTCCTCGAAGACCACGGGCTCGAAGCGGTGGCCCCACAGGATCTCGCTGGCCAGGTAGGAGCTGCGGGCCTGGGTGGTCATGGCCGTGGCCTCCACCATACCCTCCAGGATGACCACGATCTCAAAGTCCTCCGACTCCAGCTCCTCCTTGCCCATGCCATAGAGCGGGCTGTCCTCGTCGATCTCGTGGACAATGATGATGGGCGAGACCAGGAAGATGCGGTCCAGGCCGATGTCGTAGCCCACGTTGAGGTCCCGCTGATCCAGCGGCAGGTACTCGCCCTCCTGGGTCATGTAGGGCTTGATGAGCTGGGCCCGCACGTGGGCCTCCACGATGTGGCTCTTGCGTAAGTTGCCCACGCGCCACATGAGGCAGAGCTTGCCGTCGCGCACCGAGATGACGGCGTGGTGACTGAACAGCAACGTCTGCGCCCGCTTCTTGGGCCGGGCCATCTTGGCCATGATGGTGCCAATCATGAAGGAGTCGATGACGCAGCCCACGATGGACTGGACCACCACAGCGATGACCGCCAGCGGGCACTCCTCCGTCACGCACCGGAATCCATAACCGATGGTCGTCTGCGTCTCCACTGAGAAGAGGAAGGCGCCCAGGAAGCCATTCACGTGCATGATGCAGGGCTTGGGGGCCACCGGTGCCGCCCCCCCACCTCCTGTCGGGGCCCCCGCCGCGGCCCCCGCCGGGCCGGCCTCCAGGTCACCATGGAAGAAGGCGATGCACCAGAAGAGGAGGCCGAAAAAGAGCCAGGAGACGAGAAAGGCCGCAGAGAAGATCATGAGCATGTAGCGCCAGCGCGTGTCCACGCAGGTGGTGAAGATGTCCGCCATGTAGCGCTGCGACTTGTTGCTCAGGTTGGCGAAGTAGACGTTGCATTGGCCGTTCTTCTTGACAAAGCGGTTGCGGCGCTTCCGCCGGGGCACGTGGGCCTGCCCGTTTCGGCTGTGCCCGTGCATGTCCTGAAACCGGCGTGGTCACCTGGGAAGACGCAGGGCCTGCGGGGGAGAAGCCAGACACGTGAGGTGCCAGGGAGCGAGTGGGTACTGTGGGGGACGGCACTCCAAATGCCCCCAGGGTGGCAAGGAACCTGCCCAAAGATGCCCAGGAGGGGAAAAGCCTGGACTAGGACCCAAGGCTTCCTCCACCCCTCGGGCAGAATGTGAAGATGGTTCTGACAACAGCAAGGAAGTGCCTCTGTGGCCAGCCCAGCTCCAGGGTTGGGGCCTGCCAGACCAGGAGCTGAGGCCACTGGGATTCAGGTCCAAGTCCCAGCCCCTCATGCTGCACCCTCTGCCCATCATCCCCCCACCAGAACCTCCTTTGATTGCTCTTCCCTTCCCTCCCAGAAGCTTCCTGATGCCCATCTCAGCACCGCCCCCCACCGATCATCCCACTGGCCCTGAACAGAGGCTGTTGTGAATGCTCTGGGCCCCGCTCCCCTCCCTGTGTTCAGCCTCTGCCCTTTGGGTCTCTCGAGGGCTGGACATTCCCTTGTGCTGTCCAGGTCAGCAGCCACTGGCCACCTGTGCCTCTTACGTTCAGTTAAAATTAAATAAAACGTCAGCTTCAGTTCCCCAGTTGCACTAGCCACATTTCAAGGGCTCAGTAGCCACATGTGGCTAACGGCTCCCATGCCGGACAGAGCAGGTTCAGGACAGTCCCCTCATGGCAGAAGGTTCTGCTGGGCAGCACTGGGATCCACAGCCCCACCTCAGTTCCTGTCCTGTCCCCAGACTTGTCGGGAGCTGCGGTGGATGAAGACTCCAAAGTGGCAGTCAAGATGGAGGGAAGGGAAGCTCTGAGTTTTGACTCCCGGGTCGGCATCCCTATTTCCTATCACAGGTGAGGGAATGGGGGCTTAGAGAGGGAAAGTGATCTATCCAAGGCCTCACAGTGGGTCAGTGGGTCCAAATTCAGGAGTGTCTAGCTCTTAGCCCCCAGGTGCTGTCACTATGACTGAGTTCACTGTGTGGAGACCTGGGGCGGGGTGGGGGGAGGCGGAAGGCAGACATACTACTACTATCTAGCTATGTATGTAAGTGCAAACAACTCATTTCTCCTCTCTGAGCCTCAGTTTCCTCATCTGTAAAATGGGGATGAAACCCCTACCTCACAGGAACCCAAGGAGACCATAGGTGCTCTGTGAAAGCCAGTGCCTCCTGCCTTCCTTCCTGCTTCCCAGGGAGCAGGAGGAATCTCATGAGAGGTAGGATTTGCCTGTCAGCATCCCCAGCTGTTTCAGTGGAGGTGGCCTCTCACCCTGCTGGGTGGCGGGTATACAAGCTGGGACCACAGAGGGCAGACCCCTCTATCACCCCTGCCTTCCATGGGGTCCCCAAGAGAGAGAGATGGTGCTGTCCAGGGCCCCAGCTGTCTGGCAGGGTTGGGGCTGGGCCCAGGCCCGGGTTCCTAGTAACGTTTTGGCCCAGAATTATATAAGGCTGGAAGTTTCTATTTTCTGTTCTATTCTTCTTCCTGATCTAATTGTGCATCTGTGGCAATGTTTATACACTTCCCCGGTTCAGGACAACTCGGTTGCCGCAGCAACCGGTGCGCGCCAACGCTGTAATTTAGAGATCAACGGCTTCAGCGCCTGCCTCTTCCCAGGAGAAACTCCCTCTCTCAGCCCAGGGAGAGCGAGCCCTGCCCACCCCCCTCCTCCCCCACAGTCACCCCACCGTGACTCTGGGTTCATCTCCCTTTCCCCCCTTAAAATGAGCTCCCTGGATGCCCCTAGTCCTGGAAGTCCCAGATCCACCATGTAACTTGGGCAAGTTACTTGATGGCTCTGAACCTCAGTTTCTTCATCTGTAAAATGGGACCAGTGAGACCCATTGGTCTGAAGATCTAACAGGTAATGAATGGGGGGTGGACAATGCCAGCCCTTAAGAGGTCCTGATCTTAGTTGCGAGTCAGACCCTCTCTGCTACCTCCCCTAGCCTCCCAATGGCCAGGGCTCTGGGTGGTAGCTCTAAAGGGATTGGGGGCCAGATGTACCTTCTTGGCTATAAATGGCTTTCAGGGAGGTCTTCCTTCACTAAATAGGTCCCTTTTCGCTTTGTCTCATCATCGCCAATGCCTCCATGAGCACCACAGAAAGAACCAGCGCCTGAATGAAGGGTTTCAAGATGAGTGATTTTGAGTCCCTCATTTTGGGGTTTCCCTGGTGGCTCAGTGGTAGAGAATCCACCCGCCAGTGCAGGAAACTCCGGTTTGATCCTTGGTCCAGGAAGATCCCACATGCCTCAGAGCAACTAAGACCATGCACCTCAACTACTAAGCCTGTGCTCTGGAGCCCAGAAACTGCAGTTACTGAGCCCTCACGCCACAACTACTGGAGCCCGTGCACCCTGGAGCCCAGGCTCCGAAACAAGAGAAGCCACTGCAATGAGAAGCTGAGCACTGCAACTCAAAGTCGCCCCTGCTCATCACAACTAGAGAAAAGCTGGGCAGCGAGCAGCAATGAAGACCCAGCACAGCAACCCCCTCAAAAAAAGACCCTCATTTTACATCTGAGGCCAAGGAAGCTCAGAGCTGGGATGAACTTGCTAAGGGTCCCAGAGCAGCTGGGCCAGCCCTGGATGATCACCTCACTCCCACTCCTAGAAGGTCAAGGTGTTCCTGGAAAGAGGAGCGTCCTCCCTGGAGGGGGTTGGGGCAGGATATGGGGCGTGGGAAGAGAGGGCCCCAGTCCAGCCAAGCAGGCCCTGGACCTAATGGCCACGGCTTTGCAGGATAGAGATAGAGGGGACTGAGTGCAGTGACCTGGGCCTTTGGTGGCTGAGGATGGTGAGGCCCAGAGAGAGTGAGAGCCCCGCCCAAGGCCACACAGGGGCCCGCGGAGCTGCGGGCCTTGTCTGCTGCCCAAGGGACTGGCCCTGACCCTGGGGGTTCCTCTGGTGCCGCAGGAGAGGGTTCTCCACGGTGCTCCCCGCACCAGCGCTGCCTGCTGTTTCCCATCCCTGAGTGGAAGTGACAGGAGTCTCAGCCAAGCCCCAGGAAGAGGCTCCGCATGTCCCTGCCCCCACGCTCCCCACCCTCTACACTCACACCGTCCACTTCAACGCTGCCCCAGCCCCGCCCTCTAACAAGCCCTGCCCTCCCATCAGCCTGGTCCCTCAGCCCCAGCCCCACACGGTAGCCCGGTGGGGACTCAGCTCATCTCCAGGCCTCACGCCTCCTCTCTCCGTTACAGCACCCCATTTCCCGAGCCCCTGCCCTGGGCCAGGCCCTGGGCCACCCCCACCGGGTGCATCAACTCGGGATCAGAAACTTCCACTCCTGGGCGGCTGGGAAAGCAGTCACCGAGCGCAGGTGCTGCCCCCGGGCCCGTCACCCTCCACCTCCGCGCGTGCCCCTGAAGACCCTGGGCTGGTGAAAGGCCCAGCCCCTCGTCTGCAGTGACTCGTCCAGATACACCACTGCCCCGTCACCGCAGCGAGGCGGGGTGGGGGCTCGGCTGCCGGCACCAGGATGACCGCAAAGTGAGGAGTCCGGCGCTCGCCGAGTGCTCCTGGGTCACTGCGGCCAGGAGATGGCCAGCTTTTCTGTCCCTCGCTTGTCACATGGGTCTTCCTGGCGAAGGCACAAGGGCCTGAGGGAGAAAGTATGAAAGAGAAAGGGCCACAGATCATGGGATAGAGACGACGGGCATTGACAGTTGGGTACCAGCCCCCTCTGAATATAGACTGCTTTATTAAAAGAGAGAGAGCAAGAGTGCCCTGTGTTCAGGTGCCTGCACCATGGCCACAGTTAAGTATACTTTTCTGGAAGGCAGGGAGCTGGTCTCACCCCGCTTGCACCAAATGTGCCTCGTTCGCCTGGAGAACAGGGTTTCCACGGTGGGGGGCGCTGAGGGCTGGCCCCCTGGCTGCCTCCCTGGGTGACCTGGGACAAGCCCATCCCCTCACCGCTGGGTGCTTCCTGCTGTCCCTGTCCTTTATTCTAAGACTGCAGCCTGCAACATCTTTCATAGTGAATGTTCTTGATTCTGGGGAAATGATGGGGATGGGAGATGCCAGTTGCTTTTTTAAAAATGTAATGTCCTAAAAAATAATAATAATAAAAATGAATAAATAAATAAAATTTAAAAAATGTAATGTCCTTTCTTGGTCAAGTGAAGCATCGACAATGCTGTGCAAGTTACTTTTTTTTTTGGTTTTTAATTTCGCTGTGCTGTGAACATCTGGCTCCTAGACAACTAAGGAAACTGAGGCCGAGAACAGGGCTGCAGCACGCGAGTCGGCAGCGGGCGGACACCTGAACCTCTGGGAGGGAGTGAAGGTGACCAGCAGGGCTGTCGGCTTGCTCTCCTGCCCCTTCCTAGGGAGTTCAGGAGGGCTGGACCCTGCCTGCCAGGGGGTCCGGAGAGGCAGGAGAACCACCTGTGTCCTTTTAGGCTTTCCTTATGATTTTATGACACTGAAGGCTCCCTCCTTGCCCACAACTCCTTTTGCAAAAAAAAAAAAAGAAGAAGCTGATAAAGTGGCAGCAGCTCCTGCAGGCTCCAGCAGCCCGGGCGGGCTGTGGGGTGAGTCTCCCCACAAGCACCCTGTCCCTTGTGGGAGTCACAATGGTGTCTGCAGGCACATCACGCAGGACCTCTGGCTCCAGACAGCAGCAGCAGTGGGTCCTGAGACCCAGGGAGGGCAGGCGCACTCAGCCCCGAGATGCAGGATGGAGGTGGGGGGCAGAAGCCCGGATATAGGGAGCCCTTAGCCCAGCGGCAGGCCTTCGGGCTTCCCTTTGGTGTCAGTGGGGCAACAGGGAGGTGAAGGCACCGGCCTGTGGTCACACAGCTCAGTGTGGGCCCTGCTCCACCTGCCATCCCTCTCGGTGGCCGCCCTCAGAGAAGGAACACTCTGGAAGTGCCAGCTCTATGCCAGGAGCTGCCTGGTCTCTCTCGCTGAAGCATCACTGCAACTCTTTGTTAATTTAACAAGTATTTATTAAGTAC